GCAGCTCTGGCTAAAGCACTGCGCAGGCCAGGGGCTCTGCGGCTCTGCGGCTCTTTTTTGCTGTCCGCTAGAGGTACACGGGCAGGACACCCTCGATGGGCGAACGGCAAATGTGGCAAGGCCTGGGCCCAACTTCGAGCGGAATGCCGCGCGGCCGCGGCTCGAATGGCTGAGCTGCTGAGCAGCAGGCTGAGCCAGGTCCACCAGTCGGGTAGTACAGTCCCGACAGGCGGTGTGCCCACACCTGCAAGGACCACGACCACCCCCCACCGGTGGAAGCGTTTGACACGACGCACCTTTGCAGGGCCACCCGGACGAGGACTTCGTTCTGACAGATGGGGCAGGGCGAAGAGGCCGAAGCAGAGCCATGACTCGCCGTAGTGTTCCCATTCGAAATCTCGCCTGCGAAGAGAAGCAAAGAGCAAGAAAAGCTTTAAGAAATCGCGGCTTGGCGGCTTGTGCCTGGGCCGCCTGGGCCGCCTGGGCCGCCGTGTGCCAGCGGAACGAGTGGGATCTGAGCCTCAGCGGTAGCCGCCGCGAGCAGTTTAGCCCGCAGTGTGCCCTCGCAGAGCTGCGGAGATCTCTGCGCTCCGCCGCTCCACGCCGCTCCGCCCCTGCCCGCTGGGCTTCTCGCAAGCTGCGTGCGGAGCTCCTGCGTTCGAGCCTCTTTCACGTCGTCTACCGCACTGAAAGCACCCCACTGACTGACTGCACTGACTTCTATCGTGGCTTCCCGCCGTGGCCTGGGCAGCTGCTCGCTCTTGTCGACGCTGCTGCAGCTCCTGGCGCAATGGCTGCTTTCCCGGCGCGGCCGCGGTTGCGGCACGGTTGCGGCCTCCTGGGCTTCATGCCGCGCTTGGAGGAGGGCGCGATTGCGCCCGCCGAAGCCACCTCGGCACATCGGTTAACGGAGCGCGAGACGGCGAGACGTGGCTGCTCCTCTCCTCCGAACTGGGCTCTGGGCTCCCGGACCCTGAGAGGCACACTGCTTCAGCACGCACATCAAGAAGAGCAAAGCAAACCTGAGGACTGAGGGCTTCAGGAGAGAGCGGAGACGGCAAGGCTTTGTCTTGTTCCTGTTGCCACCACAGGAATCCAGCAACAAGAACCAAGACATTGGCGCTCGCAGACTCCGTGAATCGTGCTGCCGGCACAGTGCCGTCGGAGCTCGCGCTGCCGCCACAGTGCCGTGCTTTGCGGGTTGCGACTTCTCTTCCGGCATTTCCAACCCTGCCCAAACTGCGTCGTTGCCGCTTCCCAAAGTCACATCGGACTCATGGCGTGGCATCGATGGTCTAGGTGTTCGGTCCACGCTTGCATGATGCAGGCCCACATCTGCACCAGCTTCAAAAACCCTGCCCGACTTCCTTCTCTGCTCATCCTTGCCACAACGACAAGCAGCTCTCACTCTCACTCTCAATGCTCGACTTGGCTCCGCACAGGACAAGAATGATGAACTGTCCTCGGACAGAATGTCGCAAGCCACAACCATCCCCCATTGGCCCATGGGCGTTGGCTTCTCAGGTCTGTCCGGTGACCCCTCCGCGCGCCTGCGGTGCCCAGGCCTTCCGCTTCTCTCAGCGACGCCAAACCTCGAGTAGACGGTTCCGTGATCTTCATATTCTGCTGCCAAATCTCGGGACGGAAGTCTGGAAATGAGGACCTGTGACGTGCGCGGTGCACGGCGTGCACGGGACGGGCGGCCTCGGTAGCTGCAGTGAGAGCTCGGCTCGGTGTGCAGGTCGCCTTCCAGAAAGCAACGAAAAGCTGGGTGGCGCAAAATGCGGCGCCGTGGCCCAGCCGGCCTCCGAAGTACCAGCAGATCAGCGCCCCGTCGCACTCCACTTCAGAGCCTGCAGCGTGGGGGAAATCTTCGAGTCAGCCCGCTGCCCGCTGCGCCTCGCCTGCGCAGTCCATGGAGACTTGCACGTCCTGGGCCGCCACGGCGATGTCGTGCATGGGGTAAAGCACCGGCCCGCGTGGAGACGCGTAGTCCAGCGCTTGGACCTGCCGAAACACGACGCCTCCTGCGGCCCTGTCGCTTCCTGCTCCTAAGGTCCCAAGGCTAGGATGCCAATGCTTGTGCAGGGGTGATGCTGATGCTGCTCTCCTCTGGAACTCAAGCAGGCGACGAATGCCGACGATGCTTTGCAAGGTGCCCCAGCTGATGCTGCTGATGCTTGCCTGCCTGCCGCTTTCCTCCAAGAAACACAGTGAGGATGCATGATGCATGGAGGCCGCCGCGAAGGGCGATGATGCGGATGATGCTGCAACCTCCCCTGCGAAGCGTTCCCACATATTCCCATGTCTGCGGCCTACAGCTGGCAATTTCTGACTCCCTCCCTCCTAGCCCTTCTGAAATTCTAGCCTGCAGCTTGCCGCTCGGGGAGTTGCTGAGCAGGAGCATCAAGCCACTCTTCGCCACCAAGGCCACCCTTCCCAGGCCCAAGCCGAAGCCGCCCAAGCCGGTGCCCAACAAGGCTCCCGGGCCCCTTGCGGGGGCTTCGCCCGCGTCGACGACAGAGAGCTTGCGGAAGCTCTTTGCACCCTCCCACGTTGCAGTCGGTGCTTTGGAGTAATTACATCTCACCTCTGCGCCGCCACTCTCTAGCCACAGCGAAACAACCTCCTCTCCACGACACGTAGCGGCCTCGCTTTGCGTATTGATCAAGCACGCAGCATGCACTCTGTGTTTCGCTTCTCACTTCGTGCTGCCCTGCTGCGGCGCTGATGCCGTTGTCGGCATGGAGGTCCACAGGAACTGCTGGGCAGAGCTGTGCGGAAGCTGTGCAGTTCGGGCAGCTGCTGGGACTCCGGGCGTGATGCGCTCCAGGCTTGGGAGGTGCCCAAGAAACGCCGGAAAGGACCGCTGCTGGATCCTCACGTGACAGTCTTGCAGATGCGATGAGGCGCGCCCTCCTGGGCCCTGGGCCTTGTCCGGTGGCATTTCCCAGCCAGAGCGCCCAAAGAGAGTCGTTGCACCTCAGCCGTCTACGCGTCTACGCCGCGGCACTGGTGCACTGCTCTTGCTGGGCTCTGGGCCAAGCCAGCTCTGGCAGCCTCGGCACGCACGGCGCGGAAGCTTCTCAGAGCGTAAAGGCCTTTCGAGTGCGGGGCCACTGCCGCGCTTGCCGCCTCGGACTGTGCGATTTTCTGCAGCACAGCGTGCAGCACAAACTCGGCACAGGGCTTCGGGCGGCAAGTCTAAAGGCTGGCCACAGCCGCTGACATCACAAATTCGGGTGCTGACACCCCAGCCGTCCTGGATCTGGAATCCAGCCACACCCCAGGCTCGCTCGGCAGGCTCTGCCTCCTCCCACGTGCTCCAAGCCAGCAGAACACCTGCACGCCCAGCTCCTGACAGCCACAACAGTGGCAGCGCAGAGCGTTGCAAGGAGGCGGCCGTGAGGCTCCTGAAGCTCCCGACGAGGGCTCGGCGGCAGCGAGTCGCACACCTCCACCAGGCGATGTGTGTCCGACACACCGCGGTGTCCACCCCAACCCTGCCCGGCGCGGCCCGGCTTTTTGTTTCCGTTTCCTGGAGTCCTGGAGCCTGACGCAGCCTCAGCCTCCGCCTCCGCGCGTGTCTTTGCTCGGCTCTGCAGACCCTCACATGCTGACACTCTGCTGCGACCGCATGGTCTTTTCCCTTTCTATGACTTTTTTAATTTTTTACAAATAACATATCCATATAGGTTCCAGAATCTGAGGCAGGTGCACTTTGTCCATGGCGACAAGATGCTTTCGACGGACTTTGTGCTCAATCTAATAATAAGACAAAGTGTAACGCCGTGCAACGCCGCAAAAGCATCGAAGCCTAAAAGAGAAAATCCTCAGAAGAGCTTGCGGCGACATGCTCTGCGGATCTGCCTCCTGGGCTCAACACGCCTCCTTGCTTCGCAGAAGCCACCAGCAAGGGCACCGAACCTCCGGCAGGCGGGAGGCAGGATTCTGCAGACAGCACCATGAAGTACCACCGCGGCCAAGCATACTTATTTCCTGCGAGTCGCATGCGTCAGCAGCCGCACCAAGCAAACGGAAGGGGGCCTGGTAGTGACTTGCAAGCTGTGACCTACACCCTGGCCGGGCCGGCCGGGCCTCGCAGATGGAAAGGTAAAGGCTGCCATCCACTGTCCAAGCAACAGCTACGGCATCTCCCTTTGCAAAAGCCACGGCGTCAGCCAGGCCATTTCCGTGCCGCAGAAAGCTCAACGAACTGTTGACCACCACATCGTGGGAGGAGTCAAGCTTGCAGCTTTTGGAATAATGCTGAAGAACAATCGTTGCTCCGTCCTGCAAGCATCTGTACGCACCGGCCGCACATGAAGCAAACCCAAAAGAACCGGATCGGAGATCCGACGAAATCCGATGTGAGAATGTGAGACGCGCCTTGTGAGCGACGCTGCAACACCACGACAACAGGACTGGAAACAGTCGTGTCAAAGCGAATGGGCAATCAATTTCTGGAAGAGCCTCCTCATGAGGAGTGTGGTGTTTAGGCGAAATTCGTAGTGCGGAGCTTGGATTCTGTGGATCCGGGCTCTCATTGGAGTTGTGGACGATTTATATCGGCTGTAGCTGCAACCTCAGCCTCAGCGACTTGCTTCCTTTTGCCACACACACATGTGCAGGTCTCCAATCCGAGCTTGGGAACATTGTGCCTGTCTACACACCTGCTTATCTGAATGCAATCTCACTCACTCTTGCCCCGAAAAATTGCAGGTACATGACTGAGCGTCCTCAGTCACTTCCCTTCCAGTGACCTAGCTTCGTTGGATCAGGTCAGTCACTGGAAGCCTGATCCCCCTGTTGTTTGCACACGCGCACTACTTGAAAATCCTTGGTGACAGGAATTACACACACACAGGTAGCTTACAGGATGCTTGCACGGATGAAACTGCTTTCTGATAGTAAGGCTGCAGTCTCATTGAAAAAATGCATTTTCACTTGCAAGCGGAACGGATGACTCTCTGTCTTCTCTGAGGATAGCTCACAAGGTGCTTGCACACAGGATGCTGGCACGGGCAAAACCGCTTTCATGTGACGACATCACTTTCTGTGACGACGTTTGACTGCAGTCAGCCGAGAGTATATTGGGCTCACACTCAGACTCACACTGGCTGTAGGACAGGCCTCCTGACTTCTGACATGGACTGCAAACGAAAAGCTTTGGAAACATCACTGCGCTCACAGCAACCTTTTCTCGGAGGAAGAGCTGGCTCACACTGTCTTCACGAGTAAGGCTGCGTTGCTGGAACCTCCTCTGTGTCCGTTGCTGGTACTTGACTTTGCTCTCGCAGTGTTGAGAAATCAGCCAACAACTTGACGATTAAATCTTGCATTCGCGCGTGCTTCTGAAAAAGATCAGTAACAGCATCGATCAGTCCAGCGATGCGCTGCTCACTTTCACGAGTTTGCGATTGCGCGCTATCCAGCTGTTGTTGCTGAGTCCGTTGAGTGGCTGAGATTTCCTCCTTGTGCTCTTTCAGCTCGCGTTTGATTTTCAGGATTTCGTGCTGGGTGTAAAGGCGCTAACGGATCGCATGCGGAAGACATCACTGTGAGGTGCGCACACACACACACACACATGGCTGAAAGCAAGATTGATCTAGACTCTTGAGCGGTCAGTTCCGGCAGTATGTCGCGCTATGCGCATCAAGCTCTGCAGACAGACATGGCACCCTAAAACCTGGGCAAATGCAAAAAACGTACTTTCTTGCCACAATCCGATGGATCACTGCTCCTCTACTGAGCACTCTCACAGGTGCTCGTACCCACTTTCGTCATGGAGGAAGCACTTGTGCGGTCCGTACCACCCATGCTGCTCTTCTTGAAGCACGGAATGACTGTGATAGCAACACTTGTCCTCACACCACTGGCACTTGTGACGACAGCGAATGGGCCCACCAGCAAATCGAAAATTTCCGACTGAGAATTTCCCAAATCTGCCATAGTAACTCGAGAGACTGAGGCTTGCGAAACTCCCCACCTGGTGTCAGCCATCATTTGACTATCCATGGCACTCGAGCGGTAGTTATCTTCAAGTTGAGCATTAAGTCTCAGCTGCAGCAGCGAAAGCACTGAAACCACATTGTAGTCTGCGCAAGCAAGGCGAGCGAGCTGGGTTTCTCGACTGACATGCTAGCTCACTGCATCGGAAGCGGGCTACTACAGACCACTAGCAGACGAACCTGAGACAACAGCTCAGCTCGAATGCGAAACCTATCTTCATTGGATCCATGTAATGACTGACATGGTGTCGTTGGTGCGAGAAAGGCAGCAATCTGCGAATGTTTCTGATGCATCCAGAGCCCTTCACTTTTGGCCAGATGCGATCTCTGAGGTTCGCAGCTTGGTTCGACAAAAGAGGTCTTTGACCGCTTTAGCGACCGCTGGCTTCGTTCAGCCAGCCAGAAAAAGAAGCTGTAAAGCTTGAGCTTCGCTCGTTTCCGTGGAGGTGGGGGCGGTGGTGGCCCTGCAAATTTCTTGAGTACAAAGATGACGGCCACATCCGTTTCAGGACCTTTGCATCAAACCCCAGCAAGCAGATACTATGATGCATCCAGAGCCCTTCACTTTTGGCCAGATGCGATCTCTGAGATTCGCAGCTTGGTTCGACAAAAGAGGTCTTTGACTGCTTTAGCGACCGCTGGCTTCGTTCAGCCAGCCAGCAAAAGAAGCTGTAAAGCTTGAGCTTTGCTCGTTTCCTCCCCTAACCGCAAAGAGCTCAGAAGAGTTGCTTCACAACAAGGTTTGTAGGGGTAGGGCTGCGCAGGCAAGGTCATGAAGCGGCCGTCAGCGGCAAGGCCGTGTAGACGAACGTGTGGTTTGCCAGTAGCGGCAGTAGCGCTGCAAGCGGAAGCTGTGCCCTTACACGTGCGGCCTAAGCTGAAGCTGGATCCCATGACACATGAGGGTGGTGCTCTTTCGCCACCGAGTTATACTGGCAAAAATCAAGATTCACGAGGCTTATGTCCACACCTGCAGAGATCTGCTTGAGGAGAGGGGTTTTCCAACACCTGGACGGTGCAGGATTTTCAAGCACATACGGAATGCCGAACTGTTCACAGATACAAAGAACTCTGCAACTGAAGTAGATAAGTAGAGCAGGCGGTTCCCGTATTGCAATTTGCGACGATCATGTGCTCTGAGCCCCTTGAGGCCCATGGGGCAAGCGTCACTTCGCAAAGGAGGCGGACCAACACCATCATTTTTCCTTGCGATACTGAAACTCTCACATGGCATACCTATCCACACAAATGCAAAATGCCCGTTTCGCAGCAAATGCAGGATCTGCTCTTCGACTTGAAGCTGGAGCACGTCATCAGATGCATGCAGCCCGACGTCAATGGCGTATGCAGTGAGCCCTATTTCTCTCAGAGCTGAGGTGAGTCTGCCACTCCCAGCGAAAACTTCTAAACAACTGCCCTTGGGAGCTTGGCGCCACTCTTGCCACAAGGGGCTCAACGGCTGAGCGGATTCTTGGTCCCAGCCAGCACAGCTCTCATTGCGCTTTCTGAACGACGGCAGTAGTCCAGGGCCCACTGGGGCAAGCGGTTCAGCAGCGTTTGCAATTTGCCTGCCTTGCCGTAACGGCGAACCGACGAGTCTGTCCGCCGCCGCCCTCGGTCTTTCACGGCCGCGTACTCCCTGGTCTTGGACAGCAAGTCGTCTGCCGCACCGCCATGACGAAGCTGGTGGGTATGCAGCCCGGGCAATCCCAACCAGCCTCCGGCTGCCTCGAAAGCCTTGCGGTACTGGTTGCTGTCGACTGCAAAGAGCAGCTGGTCCTCCTTCTTGTGAGCTTTCAACTTGCTCAGCGCCTTTCCCAACCACGTCGAGGTAAGCGGGTGGTCCAGTGGCAGGGAGTTGTTGAAGACACCGGTTTTGTCGGGCACACCGTCGTCCTCGTCTCTCACCACCACGACGTACTGTTGGTACTGCCGCCCACTTCCCCGCACGGGGGGGACTAAGTTCTTCACCTTTAGCGCAAGAGCTTCTCCTGGGCGAAGGTACGTGTCGAAGGAAAGGAGGACCATCAGCGCCATGGGCTTCTGCTGCAAACTCAGCATTCTCATGGCGATCCCGAAGGCGACTGTCCGCGGAAAAGGCAACCGGCTCTTCGGTGGAACTTCTTTCTTCCATCCTTTGAGCGCGCGACGGCTTCGCATCAGCGTGCCCTTGACTTGGTACCAGTGGTACTCTACGGCTGCCAAGGTCTTCTCTCCCACGCTGACTCCATCACCTTCCTGGTAAAGGACATCGAAGAAGTCGGCAAGGAGGAGGTCGACGTCTTTCTGTGGTGGCCACTGCAAACCGCTGCCCTTGCAGAAGTCCTTGAACTTCGTGAAGTAGTGCCTGTACTGGTTCTCCTGTTCGTAACTGATGCTCTTACGCTCCAAGTGCGTCAGGTGGCCCTTTTGGGCTTTTTTGCCCGGGCGGTCTCGTCCACCGTGAAACTTGCTACCACACTTCTCCGCGCGGAAACGACTCTTTTCTTCACAACTTTTTGCGCTCCAAATGTTCTTGACTACATTGTCCCCCGACGTCGGCATGAGGGAATGCCCACTCAGGTTCCGGGTCTCCTTGGGTTTCCCCAATGATTGGGGAGTGGCCTTTCGCTTCTTGGAGCTGGGCACGGCGTACCCTGGAGAGCTCGCTCCTCTCGACGGACCATCTGCGAATTAAGCTCGGAGGGCACCCAACGTACACGTAGTGTGATGTTAGATGCGATCATGATGGCGCCCACTTTCTGGTTCACTCTGAGCATGGCATGATTTGCACTGCGCCCCTTTCCTATGGAGAAAAAGCCAATGCCAAATTGTCAACCAACAGTAAGTGCTTCTTTCCATGATTCCTCGATGTTCGAGCGATCCGCCGAACTGCTAAGGTCAGAGTGCGAGCCTCCTTCAAGGTGATGTGCTCATGAGTGTGTTTCCACCGCCCCGTCTTTGCCACCCGATAGCCTTCAGGATTGAGCAACTGAACAGGCACCTCCTCGAAGTTCTCATTCCGCCCGTAGTTGTCAGATTGCTCAAAGGCCTCAGGATAACAGTCGTGACACTCCATGTACAATTTAGTCACGACAGACTTTGCAAACTACAGTTGCAGAAGTTCGCTGGTGATAAGAAAATCCAATTCGTTCGCGGCACTTTCATGATGGTTGTTTGAATGGCCTCTGGAAGTGCTGCCCCAGAACACCCCGAGTTAGGTGTTCAGCAGGTTATGAGCGCCCAAGATGCTCAGCCAGCTTCGCGTGATAATACTGCGTCAGGGCTGTTGAATGGAGTTCA